TAAATTAAAAAAAGTTTACTAAATGCTTTACAAAAAAAAAACTTACATAAAGAATAAAACAACCATTTTAGTGAAAAAAAAAGAAAAAAAGAAAGGAATGAAAAATTTTAGAAACAAAATTCCAAAAGAAAATGCGGCGCTTAAGAAAGACAAAAAAAAAAAACGAAGCAAAATTTGTGTGTGTGGTAAAATGTGAGAGTAAAAATTTGTTTGTGAAAGAGAAATGCCGACAAATTAATTTGATCTCTCTTCTGGGATAAATAACAAAAATAAAAAGAAAACTGCTTAAAGATGGGATAAGATGACAAATTGTAATAGATTGAAATGATCAGTTACTTCTAAACATTCATTAATAAATCATTTAATATTGAAAAAAAAAATTTCAATAAATTTTTCTTTTCTAATCATTAAAAATATTCCTTTTTATCATTCTTTCTTATCACACTCTTTTTACATTGCATTTTATCACTTTTCATTTCTGCAATACTGATAATAAAAGTTTGTGAAATATTGCAAAGAGTTAAAAGTCAAAAGATTTCAATAAAAGGAAGAGGAGGGGGGGGGGAAAAAAAGAACAATCATATAAATGTCATTAATATGGAAGTAATAAAATGTTGCTTGGACAGATGACATTTATTGATAATAAAGATTTAAGAAATATTATCATATTCATATTTTCCATCTATTATCATTATATGTTAAAGAAACATTTCAATATAGTAATATGCAAGATATTGAAATATTATTTGAAATAATTGAAAGCATTTCTTTAAGTAAATATTAAACTCATAATTTATGCATAATTAATCGTTATAATTATTGAAATGAAACGAATGAAAGAAATAAGATGGTGATAGGACAGACGAATGGTTATGTATGAATGGACGGTAAAGTGGACGATTGAATGGAGAAATGGATAGATGAATTTACAGATGGACGAATGAATAAGAAGATGAATTGGAATGAATGGACGGATAGATATTGGTTAGTTATTAATGTTTAAAAGTCATTATAAATCTGTGATAATAAATATTAAGCAATAATATAGCTATCCGAATGGGATCTTAGAAAGCAATTACCTACCGTAATCATCATCCCTGGAATCTGTTGTATCCATATTTTTCCTTTCAAAAGCAAATGACCGTACATCGCATAGATCTAATTTATCGTTTATTAATCCGGGAGTAATTTGCAAATTTGTTGAACCATTCTTTAATTGACGTTCAATTTGATCTAATGCTCGTCGTTTTATATTTAAAGCACATAAATTACATCTGTAAAATATTACTAATAAAAATTAATTGAATTTATTTATTATTATATTTCGAATTTAATTTGCATAAATCATACAATAAATATCATTAATATCATTAATTTTGTAAAGTTATTTTTTTACAAATAATTATTTTCGGATATTAATATGGTAAAAGATAGGAGGAAAAAAAAAAGAAAACAAATAATTTTTATAAAATTTGCTTTAAATGGGATATAAATATCAGTGTAAAGAAAAAAAAAAAATTGAGCATTTGTGAAAATTATTTTCTGTCTTTTAGTACAATCCCTTTTCTTTCCTTTTTCTTTTTCCTCCTCACCATAATTGCAAGGTCAAATTTGAATTTATTACTTTACAAATTTATCAAATGAAAAAGGAAGAAGTTTGATTTAATTAGTTTCTGAAATTTGAAAATTTGCCATAACATTTCATTATTCATCAGTTTTGATGATACGATAATAATAGCGAAATTCAATTCTCGTCAAACAGTCTACAATCATTAAATGTCAAGGATGAAGAATTGAAGGTGAAAATGATGATGCATATTGAGAGGTCAAAATAAAATGCTATACAACTAATACATGCTTTTTTTTTTTTTNTTTTTTATT